AAATAGTACCGCGCCGAAAAGTATTTGTCGTATTGTTTGCAACTTGCCCACGTATTCATTTAAATTTTAACGTGTAATTTAACATAAACGCTGCCTAATTTAACATGACATCTATCACAATTCGGGATGCGCATCAAAGAAGGAGAGAGAGAGAGAGAGAGAGAGAGAGGGAGCGAAATAGAGAAACGGAGAGAGATATATGTACATATAATTCAATATGATACATTCTGGTTCATGGATGATGCGTATGAAGCGAAAGACAGAAAATCTATAAATTGCGTGACGTGAATAATAGATTTTTTCTGACTTCATACGCATTATACCTTAATCAGAAAGTATCACGATTAAACTTTTATACATGTATCTCTCTCCATATCTCTATTTTGCTCTCTATTCCCCCCCCCCATCACTCTCTCTCTCTCTCTCTCTCTCCCTTTTCACGCGCACACTGAATTCTAATAGATTTCATGTTGAATTAAGCAGTATTAATGTTAAACCACATATTAAGTTGAAATGAATACGTCGGTAAGTTTGCAAATGAGAAAGGGCTGCACGCTGTTTATAAAAAAATTTAAAAGCATATAAATTGTGCACGAGCGTATTCGTTGTTATCTCCTTAATAAATCTGGAACGGAATTGATAATGTACAATGTTGTATATATGCAGGGTGTCTCACACGCAACACACGACATCATTATTTTCGCGTTATTTTCCTAACGCCTAAAAAGCAACGTGATAATATTTTTCGGCGCGGTATCATATGTCGCGCCTCAGCTCCCCTCGCCGCTCGAAGCGTGCGGCCTACTGCTTCTCATGCGCCGCGATAAATAGTACCGCGCCAAAAAGTATTTGTCACTTTGCTTCTTCGGCAATAGGAAAATGACGCGAAAATGATGATAATGCCGCGTGTCGCGTGTGGAACATTCTGCGTATATATACAACATTGTATTATTAGAGAGAACGACAAATATATACTTATGCACGCACGATTTATACCACTAAATTGTTTTATAAACAGCGTGAAGTCCTCTATCGTTTGCAACTTGCCGACGTATTCATTACAACTTTAATGTGTAATTTAACATAAACGCTGCCTATTTTAACATGACATCTATCACAATTCGAGGTGCGCGTCAAAGAAGGAGAGAGAGAGGGAGCGAAATAGAGAAACGTATAGAAATATATGTACATATAATTCAATCATATGATACTTTCTGGTTTATGGATGATGCGTATGAAGCGACAGAAAATCTGTAACTTGCGTGACGTGAAAAATAGATTTTTTCTTGTTTCATACGCATTATATCTAATCAGAAAGTATCACGATTATATTTATATACATATATCTCTCTCCGTATATCTATTTCGCTCTCTCCCCCCCCATCAATCTCTCTCTCTCTCTCTCTCTCTCTCTCTCTCTCTTTTCACGCGCACACTAAATTGTGATAAATTTCATGTCGAATTAAGCAGTATTAATGTTAAACAACATGTTAAGTTGAAATGAATACGTCGGCAAGTTTGCAAATGATAAAGAGCTGCACGCTGTTTATAAAACAATTTAGAAGCATATAAATCGTGCATGAGCGTATTCTTGAATCGTTATCTCCTTAATAAATCTAGAGTTGAATTTGTAAATGTACAATGTTGTATATATGCAGGGTGTCCCACACGCAACACACGACACCATCATTTTCGCATTATTTTCCTATCGCCGAAAAAGTAACGTGATTATATTTTTCAGCGCGGTATCATATGTCGCGCCTCTCCTTCCTCGGCACTCGAAGCGTGCGGTTTACCGCTTCTCATGCGCCGCGATAAATAGTACCGCCCCGAAAAGTATTTGTCACTTTGCTTCTTCGGCAATAGGAAAATGACGCGAAAATGATGATAATGCCGCATGTCGCGTGTGGAACATTCTGCGTATATATACAACATTGTATTATTAGAGAGAACGACAAATATATACTTATGCACGCACGATTTATACCACTAAATTGTTTTATAAACAGCGTGAAGTCCTCTATCGTTTGCAACTTGCCGACGTATTCATTACAACTTTAATGTGTAATTTAACATAAACGCTGCCTATTTTAACATGACATCTATCACAATTCGAGGTGCGCGTCAAAGAAGGAGAGAGAGAGGGAGCGAAATAGAGAAACGTATAGAAATATATGTACATATAATTCAATCATATGATACTTTCTGGTTTATGGATGATGCGTATGAAGCGACAGAAAATCTGTAACTTGCGTGACGTGAAAAATAGATTTTTTCTTGTTTCATACGCATTATACCTAATCAGAAAGTATCACGATTATATTTATATACATATATCTCTCTCCGTATATCTATTTCGCTCTCTCCCCCCCCCCATCAATCTCTCTCTCTCTCTCTCTCTCTCTCTCTCTCTCTCTCTCTCTCTCTCTCTCTCTCTTTTCACGCGCACACTAAATTGTGATAAATTTCATGTCGAATTAAGCAGTATTAATGTTAAACAACATGTTAAGTTGAAATGAATACGTCGGCAAGTTTGCAAATGATAAAGAGCTGCACGCTGTTTATAAAACAATTTAGAAGCATATAAATCGTGCATGAGCGTATTCTTGAATCGTTATCTCCTTAATAAATCTAGAGTTGAATTTGTAAATGTACAATGTTGTATATATGCAGGGTGTCCCACACGCAACACACGACACCATCATTTTCGCATTATTTTCCTATCGCCGAAAAAGTAACGTGATTATATTTTTCAGCGCGGTATCATATGTCGCGCCTCTCCTTCCTCGGCACTCGAAGCGTGCGGTTTACCGCTTCTCATGCGCCGCGATAAATAGTACCGCCCCGAAAAGTATTTGTCACTTTGCTTCTTCGGCAATAGGAAAATGACGCGAAAATGATGATAATGCCGCATGTCGCGTGTGGAACATTCTGCGTATATATACAACATTGTATTATTAGAGAGAACGACAAATATATACTTATGCACGCACGATTTATACCACTAAATTGTTTTATAAACAGCGTGAAGTCCTCTATCGTTTGCAACTTGCCGACGTATTCATTTCAACTTTAATGTGTAATTTAACATAAACGCTGCCTATTTTAACATGACATCTATCACAATTCGAGGTGCGCGTCAAAGAAGGAGAGAGAGAGGGAGCGAAATAGAGAAATGTATAGAAATATATGTACATATAATTCAATCATATGATTCTTTCTGGTTTATGGATGATGCGTATGAAGCGACAGAAAATCTGTAACTTGCGTGACGTGAAAAATAGATTTTTTCTTGTTTCATACGCATTATACCTAATCAGAAAGTATCACGATTATATTTATATACATATATCTCTCTCCGTATATCTATTTCGCTCTCTCCCCCCCCCCATCAATCTCTCTCTCTCTCTCTCTCTCTCTCTCTCTCTCTTTTCACGCGCACACTAAATTGTGATAAATTTCATGTCGAATTAAGCAGTATTAATGTTAAACCACATGTTAAGTTGAAATGAATACGTCGGCAAGTTTGCAAATGATAAAGAGCTGCACGCTGTTTATAAAACAATTTAGAAGCATATAAATCGTGCATGAGCGTATTCTTGAATCGTTATCTCCTTAATAAATCTAGAGTTGAATTTGTAAATGTACAATGTTGTATATATGCAGGGTGTCCCACACGCAACACACAACACCATCATTTTTGCATTATTTTCCTATCGCCGAAAAAGTAACGTGATTATATTTTTCAGCGCGGTATCATATGTCGCGCCTCTCCTCCCTCGGCGCTCGAAGCGTGCTGTCTACCGCTTCTCATGCGCCGCGATAAATGCCGAAAACTATGTGTACGTCTTTTTCTTAAAATATTATTTGTAAGAGTTTGCTGATTGAAGGTTCGCAAGCTTTTTGACAATCGAAACCCAGCGATGCAAATGTAGAGATGAGAAGAAGCCGTTGCGAATTCCGAAAAGATACCGAACGCAGTCATATACAAATCTGATTGATTTCGTAAGCAGCTTCTTGTCATCTCTACATTCGCACTGTCGGATTTCAACTATCAAAGTGTGTTTCCAAATATCCAGTAGACAAATTCTTTAGAAACAATATTTTGAGAAAAAGACGTACGTGATAGGTACTTTTCTATTATTTATATATCTTCTATGTCATTTTTACACTTTATTTCTCTAATTAATTTATATTTTATGCTCATAATATATTCACGATATAATTAATATCTTTATATAATTTGTTATGTTTTTACGTGAGTTCTGATAGCTGAGCTATATTATATATTAATGAGTATAATTCTCGAAGCTATGACTAGAATATAATATCAATTTATAATTTAATGCCTAATCCTTTTTACGTAAAGATGTAAACTCATATCACGTTATGTAAAAGTCTAGTTAAATAAGTGTTTTTTAGGTAAGAAATCAATTATATATGTGTGGTTAAAGTTTTAGTTATTGTTGTTCAATTTTGTGCGTGTGTTATTTGTTCTGATTTATTAATGTTCATAGTTTTACTTTGATTAAAGTTTCCTTTTATATAATAGACGAAATCAACTAATGCAAGACGAAAATGAAAGCAATTAAAACATTCGTAAGGTGCATAATTTTTTTGCTGTCTTTACAGTTTGGGTAGTCCGTCGTCGTCCGTAAATAAGAACAGACGTGTGACCGAACGTGTTTTCTAAACTCTGTTTTTGAGTGCCACTAAATATTTACCGAATTATCGAATTATTAGATTTGCTTTGTCAATGAAAAAGTAATGTGTAAATATGTAAAGGAAGAAATAATATGTGTAAATATGTATATACAATAATGAAACTGACATACTATCCTATCTCTGATTGTTGAGGTTATGGCTTGAGGTTAGTTGGTGATGACATATCTTGTATTATGAGTATACATAAACTTAGGTGCATTTGTATTAATGTATAAAGTAATGTGAAAGTCGTATATATAATATAGTATACATTTTTATTTTTCAGAATAAATTTTTTTAGAAAGCTGTATTGTACATAAAGTATATAAACAAGGATGACCTCATATATTTCATTATTTGCTGTCGACAAAGATAAATACTGATCTCCGAGGACCTGTGTTTTAATGCATAAATTTTACCGACAATGCAACGCAAGTCAGTCAATAACTTTGCATGATACAACATTAAGGAAACATGTAGCAACACACTGCATTCAATTTGATCTGAATGTTACTGATGTTTCGGATATTGCCATATTTATGAGTTATGTTGATGAAAATACATGGAGATATTTAGAACCATAGCAAGCTGAGATATATTGTAAATGTTTCCATTATTTAGAAACTGTGTCACAAGGAAATGCATAGATTATGGATAATAAATATGCATCGGACAATGACTCTGAAATAGAAAATAACTTATTCAATTTGGTAACAATAATACTGATGAATCAAGTAATATTATATTTGCTTAAATCATTATGTAAGACATAGAACTTATAACATTAATATTTACATGATTTACATTTTTAATTGGTTTTATGTTGGCTTGATGCTTATGTAATTTATACTTAAGTATTCTTCTTGTATATCATTATGATATAATAATGATGTAATAATAATGAAACATTAATAGCATTATGATATGATGATATTTTAATTTCATGAATGTTTTAATAACTATAGTTTATTGTAGATGTTTCATTGTGTGAGATACCAAAGCATTTCAAAAATTTGACAAGCAAACGTATGAATAAGGTAACCGGAAATGGTAAACGGAAATGTAGTAGTAAGTAATTTTCCTTATCTATTTTCAATCCATAATTGTACAAATTACGACTGTACAAAATTCAGTTTATTTTATTATTATGTTAATATTCGTTCTTAAAAATGATTTCGTTTAAATATTTTCAATATAACTCTTAACATTTCATATTAGATTAATGCCTGCAAGTACCTAATTACTTTTTTCTTTCTTTTTTTATCACCGAAATATATAACTTAGTTCTGTTTACATAACCTATAACTTTTTTCTAATATTTATTCTAAAAATATTTATAATTACTATTCAAAAATAAAAAAAATAAGTAAAATAAAAAAGCATCATTATTTAAATAATTTATTATCATTAAATATGAAATATAAGAATGTTTGATCATAGCAATCAACATTATTTTTATGTCAAAGTTGAGAACCAATAATATAATTATTTCGTGCTTGTTAAATTATTTCAATAATATTCTCTATGCTCGTTTAGAATCTTCTTATGGAAAAACGAAAAAGATACAATGGACAGAAGATGAGAAAAAAGCAGCACTTTCTGCATTTGCACAACATATGGGAAATCATACACTGTCGTCTCTAAAAAGATCTAAGAAATAAAGAAAAAATATATTTCTTTGGCTCGTACATTGCCGCAAATCAATACGTGGTAGAATAAAAAAACCCTGCAACAACAATAGTGTAAGAGTTTGCAATTTCATACAGAACATTTTATTAATCCTTGTAAAAAATTCTGTTTTTTTAAAGACAATATAAAACGTTTTCATATTACTTTAGTCTTAAATTTTTTAATTAAAATGTATATAATTTAATATTTTAATATATAACTCTTTAAATATAATTTTATATGTACATACACAGTATAACTCTTATTCATTATCTTCCCTATTTTGCTTTTTTACCTTTGTAGTAATATATGTATGTTGAGATATGCTAATATATATTATTGTTGTGTGTATTAGTTTGCCAATGCCATAGATGCTCATAAGTAAATCTTATTCTATTTTTTGGTTTTAGTTTAATTGCCTCATTCTAGTAGGACCTTGTGAAGGCGTTCAACTCAAGATTAACGTTGCACACACCTAGATCATCAGATACACTGAATATCTTCAATAGAATCAGAGAACCTGAATACTGCTGTGCTTAGCAATGAGAAGTGGATATAATGTTTGACGGAACAGATTCAGTACAAAATGAAATTTATAAAGTGATATGTTCCCGAAGATGTATCTTATTAAACATCTCATAGGTTTCCATATATATGAAGCGACAGAAAATTTATAATTCACGTAATTACATTTTACAGATTTTCTGTCACTTCATACGCATCATGTGTGAATCAAAAAGTACCACATAGTTAAGTTAAATATACGTATCTCTCCGTTTCTCTTTCTCAATCTCTCTCATTTACCAGCATTTGATGTAACATCGGTCATTTCCTTATTACAACCTTTGTTTGGCACAGATTCATTATTGTTTCTATCGTTTCCATCTACAGATATGTGAGAGTTACCTGTATTTAATGAAACATCAATTTTTTTAGTGTTATACTCCTTGTTTAGTATCACAGACTCATTGCCTTTGTTTTTATCAATAAGTTTTATAGAATTAATATCCGTGAGAGTAAAAATACATGAATATCGCATACATATGATAAAATATAAGTATTACAAATATTATCGATATGAGTTAAACTTACCACAAAATTTTGGGAAATCAGTTCTTTTGCATGATATGATGTGGTAATATGATGTGATTTATTTGTTATAATATTTTTTGTAATATCTTGCAATATATCTTTATTATCTATAATATTAAAGAAATGTCTATTAATGAAATAAGAAATTGAGAATATATTTTAATGAAATAAGAATATATTTTAATGTATTCTCAATTTCTTATTTCATTTGTAGATGTATTTCTACGTCTATAATTTTATTATATTGTGAACGCATCGTTATTGTTTATTATTTATTCTTAGGTTTATATATATATATATATATATTTGTAATGTAATATAAATGTTAATTACATGCAATAATAATAATATGAAATATTGATATGAAACATATATTCAACTTACCATTTTTCGCTAAAATAGTTGCTGGGTAGCTTTGTTTATCACTATATATAGCATTTGTAATATTTTTTAAGTCGTAATTTGATTAAATTTGCACACATAATAAATATCATCATAGAACTTTGCTAATCTGTACATATTTAAATTTTAGTACTATCATATAATATGTATTTAGTAGTAGAATAAATATTATATTTTAATACTTCAATCTTGTTCACATATTCTTTATCTATATAGAATTTTTATGAAAAAACATTCAGAAAAACCAAAAAAAAATATATATATATATTATTATCATATATTACATATCATTATCAAATGCTACATGAATATAACCTGTACAACCAAAGTTATTGAGTTTTATACATAAGGTTTCAGTGTAATTACTGTTATTTACATATTTTTTCCTTCATGTATTTACTACGAAATACATACAGCGTGTGTCAAAAGTTCCGGGACGGCTGGATAATTTGAAAAATACGCATCACAGAGTAAAATGACCTAGACAAAAGTTGAAGGATTTTTCCCGGGCAATCCGACGGTGACCTTAGATTTGACCTTGGATAGTCATTTGAAGGTCACATAAAGATTACCTTTAATTTCTTAAATGGAACCCCCTATTTTTCATTGCATATTCTTGTAGCTTATCTCGAGAGCTTTCCAAAACACTATAATTAAGTACCTTTTTATTAAGTACTTTTTGAGTTATAAGGCTTGAAATAATTTCTTAATTTTACATAAACCATAAAATATCTAGTAAACCATTCATTTTTCGATTATCTTATCTTCATACTTTTATGTACAAAATAATGAGAGGAATCAATTGGTGTAAAGAAAACACATAGTTGTTTCTAAGAAAAAATATGTAATTTGCAATTAACAATTCCATATTTTTTCTTAAAAACAACTGTATGTTTTCATTACACCAATTGATTCCTCTCTTTATTTTGTACATAAAAGTATGAAGGTAAGATAATCGAAAAATGAATGGTTTACTAGATATTTTATGGTTTATGTAAAATTAAGAAATTATTTCAAGCCTTATAACTCAAAAAGTACTTAATAAAAAGGTACTTAATTATAGTGTTTTGGAAAGCTCTCGAGATAAGCTACAAGAATATGCAATGAAAAATAGGGGGTTCCATTTAAGAAATTAAAGGTAATCTTTATGTGACCTTCAAATGACTATCCAAGGTCAAATCTAAGGTCACCGTCGGATTGCCCGGGAAAAATCCTTCAACTTTTGTCTAGGTCATTTTACTCTGTGATGCGTATTTTTCAAATTATCCAGCCGTCCCGGAACTTTTGATACACGCTGTATATGAGATTTCCATATAAAATCTGTTATACTTAATCACATATTGTTCTGTCCCCTCCCGCATCATCTTAAGAAAACATTGCAATAATTAAATGATTATAATAGTTAAGGTGATGCCGGAATGACATTTATTTTATCAGGTTTTATCAACCGAAAAGTGAGGTTAGATTCGACTAAAAATCTATAAACTAATACAGATTGTTTTATTATTTGAAATATAGATAACGCGAGATATAGTCGAATCTAACCTCACTTTCTCGATCGATAAAACATTTGGTCAGCATCCCCTTAATGTGGCAAAAGGATTTATCAATCTGTATAGTCAATCAAAATTTATTTAAAAATAAGAAGTTATAATTATTAATTATATAAGTCATTTTATTTTATTTAAGTTATTTTTAATGAAAAAGAAATAATTTTATTATATGTCGAATATTATATTTTCAGTTCTTTGATAATTTCTTTTACTGTCGTCAAAATCGCCAAAAAATAAATATAGTGTCGTCAAAGTATACAGTGTCGTCAAATTTATCAATTCTCCGTTTCGGGTTAGTTTGACGACGTCGCCAAAGTATACGATTGATCGGTAAAATTTTGACGACCGTCGTCAAAATAGCCAAAAGTCGTCGAAATAGACAAGTGTTACGAAAAATTGTCGTCAAAGTATACGATTGACATATATATACATACATATATTATGTGCAGTGTTGTGCAAGGTACTTTATTTTCAGTACCTACGTACAGCCCAGGTAGCAAGATGACGTCTAAAGACGTCTATGATGTCATTAAGACGGTATTAAGACGTCATTTGACGTCATTCTGCTACTAGGGAGATACAGGTACTCTGGAAAAAATGTATCGACGTACAGATACAGATACTCTGCAAAAAATGTACTAAGATAGAGATATTTCATATTATGAAATACCTCTGCTTCGGTATATTTTTTCCAGAGTACCTGTACCTGTACCTCAGTGCTGAAAATAAAATACCTTGCACAACACTGTATATGTGTGTGTGTGTATATATATATATATAAAAGAATCTAAACAGAAAACAATACATGTTATATAAATATATATATATATATATATAACATGTATTGTTTTCTTTTTAGATTATTTTCTTTTTTTGTTAGAGTATTCTTTAAATTAAAGTCCTGTAAATAAAACATTTAATAAACGACATGATTGAATTTGCAGATTGGAAAAAGATTTAAGAAAAGAAGAAAGAAGAAAGGATGAGGACAGAGAAAGTGAGATGAGTGTAGAAGAAGAAGTAAACGACGAAGAAAATGAAAGAAAAGAGAAGGAAAAGAAGAAGAAAAGAGGAGGAACTATATTAAAGGAAAGAAATAAAAAGTATGTATTTTTAAATATATATAAAAAGTTTTAAAATTATTTCTATTTTGTACATTTAATTTAATTGTTTAATTGCTACGTTTTCTGTGTTCATTAGGTATTATTCAACAAGAGCGAAGAGAGGAGGATGGAGAGGAAACTGGAGAAGAGACGATACAGGAGACTGGAGAGGAGGATGGAGAGGTGGAAGATGGAGAGGAGGAAGAGGAGCATGGAGAGGAGGAAGAGGAGGATGGAGAGGAGGAAGAGAAGGATGGAGAGGATGAGAATCTGGCTCTGGGCCAGTTCTCATTTTTAATTATCATTGAAAACTATAAAAAAATATAATATAAAAATAATATAAAAAATATAAAATAAAATAATATAATAATATAAAAAAATTAAAAAAAAATATATAATAATAAATAATAATATATATGTAAAATAATAATAACTTAAAAAACTTCAAAGTCGCCAGCAAATAAATAAAACAGAGTAATTAAGGTTGACCACAACTGGCAATTTTAATTTGAAATCAAAATTTCACAACGTTTCGACCATAGGTTTTGGCCCTTTTCAAGTGAACTACAAACAATTAATTCAATATTACAAAAATAAAATAATTGATTTTGAGATAACGAGCAAAAGGTTACATACATACAGTAATTTGATTAAAAGTTATATCGTGAAAAATAATCACTTCGTCAAAAATATCATGTCGACCTATCCTCACCAACACAAAGAGAAAGACTAGACAACCTTTATTATTTTATCATAAATATCGTTTAAATTATCGGTGTCCTTTTGTAAGTTGATCGTGTTGTCAAGCTTTTTTATATAAAACATTTCAGCAAATTCTCTCTTTCTCGCGTGTTTCTCGCTATGTAAAATAACCGGTGCGGACCAATCGAAGTCATGATTAAAATCAACTTTATGTTTACTAATAACGGAAAAATTACTTTCATGCACTTTAATGTTATTACGATGTTCTTTTATACGAGTGCATAAATGTCTTACACGACATTGTTGAAGTCATGGATTAATAATAAAAGGAAGATCTGCACTGCCAATCAACAACTCATTTTCTTACTTCGATGCAGGAGATATGACTTAATTCCGTCACACATTAGCAAGTTAAAGATCAACATCAAGTTTTGTAGCAGTCGCGTTAATCGCATTTTTGAGAAAACCAAGACGAGATATCGTTATACATTATTGAATCTCGAAATTAAGGATCTTAATTGTAATCTAAAATATTTGCGCGCTAAAGTTGGAAGGATTGAAAGTGGTCTTGAATGTGTGCCGCGTGATTTGTTAAAAAAATTTTTTGATTTTAATGAACGTAAGTTTTCAATAATCACTAACAGATTAAAATCTAATCTAATTAAAAAATTTAAAAATTTGACAGCCAAGTATGACACATCTTTGAATCCTTTTAACAATATTGACAAAACCGGATGGTTGATTAACATTAGTAATAAAAACATTCCTGATCGAGTGTCTGAACTTTTGAGTCTTGGTGACAATTTTGGATTACCGCTACTTCAGTCTCACGCGAAAGATCGTGTTAACGTTGTTCTTGAGACCTTGAAGAACTTGGAAATCAATTACAACCGCATCCCTGTTACTGCAAGTACCAGAAATTCTGTCGCTAATTCTCTTAATAGATTTCTTTGTGAGAAAAGACATGTCAACTGTATAGACAGATATGTTCTAGGAAGCTTCTCTCTTTGCAAACAATTCTTGCACAACAACGACGATCTGTTTGTCACCAGGGCTGATAAGGGTCAGGTCACTGTGGTGATGAATAAGACTGATTATGTGGAAAAAATGGAGGCACTTCTGAATGATCAATCCACCTACAGGAAATTGAATAAGGATCCGATCAGAAAATTAACTAATAAAATCAATACAATTGTAAAATCGTGGCGTAGCAATGATCTTATAAATGAGTCTACATATAAAAAATTGATCTCTACGAATGGTAATTTATCACGGTGTTATGGTTTACCAAAAATTCACAAGTCTGGTTTTCCAATGCGAATTATTGTGTCATCGATCGGTAGTCCCGTATACAACGTCGCGCAATAGATCCATGACATATTGAAGATTTCGATCTTGGAACCTAAATCTCACATCAAGGATGGTTGGACGTTTGCTAATTATTTAAAAGGCAAAATTATTAGAGATGACGAAATAATGATTTCTCTCGATGTCACTGCATTGTTCACGAATATTCCCAAGGATTTGGTTGTGAGTGCTGTCACTAAACGTTGGAATCACATCGCGCCTAATACGAAATTTAACTTATCACAGTTTTTATACGTGATTGAAATGATTTTGGACTCTACTAGTTTTACATTCAACGGACAGTTTTACGAACAGATTTTTGGCAGTCCTATGGGTTCTCCTTTGTCACCTATCTTGGCCGATATTGTGACGGATGACTTGGAAACACATTGTTTGAGTCTGCTGAATTTCAATGTGCCAGTTTATTACAGATATGTTGATGACATTTTTACCATTGTTCCACGCTCTAAAGTGGAAATGATAAAATCGACCTTTAATAATTATCATCAACGCTTGGCTTTTACGCATGAAATTGAATGTGATTCTCGTATCAGCTTTCTCGACACGGTTGTTATTCGATCTGATGGTTGTCTTCTAACCGATTGGTTTAGGAAACCCACTTGTTCTAACAGATTTATTAATTTTCATTCTAAACATCCGATGAAATACAAATTGAACACCATTTATAGTCTTGTTGACCGCGCTATATTATTGGCTGATTCTCAATTTCATGCGAAGAACATTGATACTGTTAGGCGGATTCTTTCCAATAATTGTTTTCCGAGCCAAATCATTAACCGTTATGTGCAAAAAAGACTACAATTCTTGAAACATCGTGATAATGCTAATATTGATAATGAATGTGACAATGCAGTGGCATCTTCGTACATTTCTTTGCCGTTCGTTGATGGCCTGAGTGATGAATTTGATCACGTTTTTAAAAACATAGGCCTAAATGTGGATTATAATGTTCCTAAAAAACTCAATGTACTGATTAAACGCGGTAAAGATAAGCTGCCTACGAACAACATGACGGAAGTAGTTTACAAATTAGATTGCAAAAATTGCAATAAGTCATATATTGGCCAAACAAAAAGACATTTATGCACTCGTATAAAAGAACATCGTAATAACATTAAAGTGCATGAAAGTAATTTTTCCGTTATTAGTAAACATAAAGTTGATTTTAATCATGACTTCGATTGGTCCGCACCGGTTATTTTACATAGCGAGAAACACGCGAGAAAGAGAGAATTTGCTGAAATGTTTTATATAAAAAAGCTTGACAACACGATCAACTTACAAAAGGACACCGATAATTTAAACGATATTTATGATAAAATAATAAAGGTTGTCTAGTCTTTCTCTTTGTGTTGGTGAGGATAGGTCGACATGATATTTTTGACGAAGTGATTATTTTTCACGATATAACTTTTAATCAAATTACTGTATGTATGTAACCTTTTGCTCGTTATCTCAAAATCAATTATTTTATTTTTGTAATATTGAATTAATTGTTTGTAGTTCACTTGAAAAGGGCCAAAACCTATGATCGAAACGTTGTGAAATTTTGATTTCAAATTAAAATTGCCAGTTGTGGTCAACCTTAATTACTCTGTTTTAAAATAATAATATTAATAAAATAATATATAACAGAAGTTTTGAATATTAATTTTTTTTATTATAATAAATAATATCTTTCCTCTCTTTCCTATATTCTTCCCTATTCCTATTTCTTTTGCTTGCCATTTTTCAAGGGTCATTATGTCTACATCTAAATATTTCTACATTACCTACATGGTATCGACATATTACCCACACGTTACCTACATGTCAAAATTCTCATGCAGCGCCTCACTGTTATAAATCGGTGAACTATAAGGCGTGAAAAATGGCCTCGTAAGCGAGAAATGACAGCCCAATTTACGTTGCGTCCCATTTCATAATTATTTGCTTTGTGCTAGTGTTGTGGTGTGCAATGTATTAAGAAAACTTGTAAAAATGGACGGATACTAAGCTGTATAAGGAACAAACTTTAGAAAGTAACATTTTCCTCTCCTTTCGACAGCTGTCAAATCGCGTGTTTTTTCGCATTTTCAAGGCTTCATTTTGGATTCAATTTACGGCTATTTATAAAGTGTCAAAGGAAAGGATTAGTATCCGTCCATTTTTACAGGTGTGCTGAAGAGATTGGTAGTCTTATTTCATTCAAATATGTTTTTATTTAGATGTCAGTCGCAATATAAATCTGGGTGTCCTTTCTCGCTTATGACGTCACGATTTCAAGATGGCCGCGGTAACTCTGGAGCCTTAAAGTCTCTACTTTAAGATGCATTCGGCCAATTTTGAATTTCTTCTTTCCTCCTTGCGCCGTCTCTTTAAAAGTAAAGACGTGTTTTGTCTTCAAACATTTGCATAGTTTGACGCACTCCACGGAGTAGGATAAATTTTTTTCGCAAATGCCACGACAACCATCGTTAAAGTTGGACTTTTCCCTGCAAATTAAAAGAAAAAAGAGGTTCGTACGATTTTTTTTCGAGGAGTTAGGATGTATCAAAGTTATGTATGCATTTTTGTCAGTTACCGCCAGCATTAGCATTACCCGATGTGCATCACGGGGAGGTTGCTGGTCGGATTTCGCATCGTGTGTGTGTGTGTGTGTATGTGTGTGCGCGCGCGTGTCTGTGTGTGTGTGTGTGTGTTACAGCAGAGATGAGGACCCCACAGTTCGTCACTTCCGCAGTATTTTATGACTCCAAACCCTCTCTGCTGTGTGTGTCTGTTTGTGTGTGTGTGTGTGTGTGTGTGTGTGTATGAATGTGTATGAATGTGTGTGTATGTTGCATAAAAAATGTGGGTACTCTCGCACTTAATATGGTGTATTCCCACCTCGTCTTCGAATGACTTCTTGTAAACGGTTATGCATATTAATGCATGGCCTAATTGTGGCCTGAGGAATTTCGTGCCATATTTGTTGTAATGCTGCTCCCAATTCCTGCAGATTTGTTGGTTGTCTCTCAAAATTTCGTAATCTTCTTCCCATCATATCCCATACATGTTCAATGGGATTCAAATCCGGGCTCATTGCTGGATGTGATAATACCTCGATGTTGTTTTCTTCGAGGAAGTTAACAGCAATCCTGGGAATGTGTGGGCGAGCGTTGTCATGCATGAGAATAAAATTGCGCCTCATTCGACGACGCATGGGTATTATGTGAGGACGCAAAATTTCCTGTACATAACGTTCTCCTGTCAATCCAGGAGATGGTATGATGACGAGATTTGTGCGCTCATGCATCGATATTCCACCCCATACCATAACAGAACCACAACCAAACGCTCGAACAGGCTCGACGCAGTTTTCTTCAAAACGGTGTCCATTACGACGCCAAACACGGATTCTTCCATCGGAACGGAAAAGACAAAACCGTGATTCGTCAGTGAACAATACATTGTTCCACTGTCTCATAATCCAATTCTGATGAGTGCGTGCATATTGTAAACGAGCACGTCTATGAGCCACAGATAACATTGGCATTCGAGCACGAGCTCGCGACCGCAAGTTTCCTTCGTGCAAACGCCTCCTGATTGTTTGAGCACTAATTTGTCTGTGCGGAAGAACTGTATTTGCAATTACTCGTGCAATTCTTGATGGATTTCGATTTGTCTCATTGATGATGAGACGATCTTCTCTAGCTGACGTTATTCGTCTTCGTCCTTGTCCTCTCCTTCGACGAAATCCGCCTGTTTCTTGATAACGAGCCCAAACTCGAGAGATGGAGATTCGATGAACACCTATTCTCCTTGCAACATAACTTTGATTCAATCCTTCTTCCAAAAGAGCAATGATTTGCGCACATTGAATTTCGTTCAAACGAGACATTGTTACGACTTTATCGTTTGCTTCTTGAGTGTAATGGGAACAAGTTTACATACCTTGTCCTTATGGGAATCACTGGAAATCGCTACATTCCATAGCGTTTCTCTGAATCATGTAAAAATTGTAAACAACAAAACTCTATATAATCGTAAACTTGTTCCCATTACACTCAAGAAGCAAACGATAAAGTCGTAACAATGCCTCGTTTGAATGAAATTCAATGTGCGCAAATCACGGTTTTGTCTTTTCCGTTCCGATGGAAGAATCCGTGTTTGGCGTCGTAATGGACACCGTTTTGAAGAAAACTGCGTCGAGCTTGTTCGAGCGTTTGGTTGTGGTTCTGTTATGGTATGGGGTGGAATATCGATGCATGAGCGCACAAATCTCGTCATCATATCACCTCCTGGATTGACAGGAGAACGTTATGTACAGGAAATTTTGCGTCCTCACATAATACCCATGCGTCGTCGAATGAGGCGCAATTTTATTCTCATGCATGACAACGCTCGCCCACACATTCCCAGGATTGCTGTTAACTTCCTCGAAGAAAACAACATCGAGGTATTATCACATCCAGCAATGAGCCCGGATTTGAATCCCATTGAACATGTATGGGATATGATGGGAAGAAGATTACGAGATTTTGAGAGACAACCAACAAATCTGCAGGAATTGGGAGCAGCATTACAACAAATATGGCACGAAATTCCTCAGGCCACAATTAGGCCATGCATTAATATGCATAACCGTTTACAAGAAGTCATTCGAAGACGAGGTGGGAATACACCATATTAAGTGCGAGAGTACCCACATTTTTTATGCAATATACACACACATTCATACACATTCATACACACACACACACACACACCCACAAACAGACACACACAGCAGAGAGGGTTTGGAGTCATAAAATACTGCGGAAGTGACGAACTGTGGGGTCCTCATCTCTGCTGTAACACACACACACACACACAGACACGCGCGCGCACACACATACACACACACACACACACGATGCGAAATCCGACCAGCAACCTCCCCGTGATGCACATCGGGTAATGCTAATGCTGGCGGTAACTGACAAAAATGCATACATAACTTTGATACATCCTAACTCCTCGAAAAAAAATCGTACGAACCTCTTTTTTCTTTTAATTTGCAGGGAAAAGTCCAACTTTAACGATGGTTGTCGTGGCATTTGCGAAAAAAATTTATCCTACTCCGTGGAGTGCGTCAAACTATGCAAATGTTTGAAGACAAAACACGTCTTTACTTTTAAAGAGACGGCGCAAGGAGGAAAGAAGAAATTCAAAATTGGCCGAATGCATCTTAAAGTAGAGACTTTAAGCTTTAAAATAAGAGAAAAAACTTTCAATTACGATAATTTTTAACGAAGTTATGATTATTTGAAGTTGTGCGAAATTTTGGTATAAATGAGTGTTGCGATAATTTTGTTGCCTAGTGTGTATATATGTATATATATATATATATATATATATATATATATATGTACGCTTGTATTAATTCAATATCTTTTTTTGTGTTACAGGAGCGGCCATCTCCCTGACCCCCCCTCCCCCCGCACCCCCAAATATTATTATTTTAAAAATTATATTTTATATTTTATTTTATATATTATTATTATTTTATTATTATATTATTTAAAATTGTAATCATAAAAATTATAATCTTAATTTTAAGTACATACACACATACAAACACATACACACACTGACAGACAAATTGTAAATTACACATTTTAAATTAAATTTTATATATAGGTATATATATATATATATATATATATATATATATATATATAATTTTAATTAAAAAAAGAATTTAATTATTTACACGCTTCTCCTTGCGTTCCCATCCCTCTCGTCTCTCTTGCGCTAGTTGTAAGAATTTATCGTTCTCTCTATCATACTCGTTAGTTGTAAGTCTCGCGATATTATTGTTCTCTCTTGTACACGTCGTTTTCGCGCTATCGTTCTCTCTTTCGCGCTGTTCTCTCTCACACGCGCTAATTGTAAATCTCGCGATATCGTTCTCTCTCGCACGCGCTAGTTATAAGTCTTCGCGTTATCGTTCTTTCTTTCGCGCGCGCTAATTGTAAGTCTCGCGATATCGTTCTCTCTCGCACGCGTTGTTTTAGAATATTATCGTTTTCTCTCTCTTTCATATACTCGTTGCTCACTTACCTTTGCGTCGTCCTTTTCCCACCTATGCGTCGTTCTTGTTCCACGATGATGCCATCCTTGTCGCACTCGTAGCACTATCCTTTTCCCACACGTAGCGCTGTCCTTCTCACACCACTGTCTTCTTTCCGCGGATCCCCCGTCACTGTGCGGACTCCCTCGTCCATCGCTCGCGCCACGGATCCCCCTTCACCGCGCGGACCCTCTCGTCCATCGGACGCGCCGCGGATTCCTCTTCACTGCGCGGACCCCCTCATCCATCGCTCGCGCTGCGG